AAAACAACCCACAATGGGACAATAGAAGAATGTGTGTCATGTGGTTGTCACGCACATGAACGGGAAATGTCACGTTTTGTGCTCGACTATATACTAACAGTTGTCAACGGATGTAGTTTTATTTGCGAAGTTACTTATTAACTTATTACATAGTTTCAAAGTTCCGTTTTGCCACTTTTACTGCTGTCCAGAATGATTTGTAAGGCTTCTTTCAAATATAATTTAAATAAATAAATATAAAAAAAAGAGAGAGAGAAATGTTGAATTATGAAACTTTACTGTAATGCCACATCAGGATTCTTTCGTTTAAACAATATAAAATACGTAAAACGAGTTACTAAATTTCCAAGGGTAAAAAATAAATTTAAAATTGGCAGACCGCGATGTATCGAAACTTTTTTGTCCTTCAATATAAATTGGGATGTTTCGAGACAATAACAATGGATGACAAAAAGTAGTAATATGCAGAATCATAGCAGGGGGGTCTCCTATTGCGCACAGACTTCCGGCCTAATGCTGACTAAATCACGCTAGCCGCTGCCAAAGAATTGTGTAAGAGTTTCCATAGCTAAAGGGACAGGTCCAAGGTCGAGTCAGGGAAATACTTGAGAAACAAAGAACCTGTTCTGACCGCAAGATTTGTCCTATTGCTCGGCTCTTATTGATGATAGCCAACTTAGGCATTAGCTTATAATATCATTTAGGAGCAATGTGATATCTTTGCACCCTATTTTCAGTAGAAATCATATTTTTTTAAAATTGTTTTTTTATTCTGTTTAAATCATAGATTTTTATCTCTACTGCTCCTGTTATCTTAACTGGATTATTATTATTCTTTTTTTTATTTAATCCGGTTAGCTGATAGGATAGTATCTGGATGGTAGCCTATAAAATTGCCTTTCTTTTTTATTTCCTAACGTGTGGTATACCGCAAATTAGGTAGGTGCTAGTAATTTGTTAAATAATGTCGCTTAATTATTAAGTTAGTTGCGTGAAAATGCAAATTTTCAGATCTGATTGAGATAGTTGCTTAGAATGGTTACTAACCTTTTGATTTCCTTTTTTTTTTTTTGTATAATCGAATGAATCTTCTTTTAATAAAGCCAAAAAGTCTGTAGGAAATAAAATTTTCTGAGAGGAAAAATTGAGGAAGAAGTCCTAATAATAAAAGTTGTAGTCCTAGTTTACTTTGGAATAATAGGTTTAGATAAATACCTTTAGGGCATAATCAACGTACAATCTTAAACATATGAGAGTATATAATAAATTTTAATTACTAAACAATTATTTTTTCAATGAAATATGATAATATACACACGTAATTTATCAATTAGATAATTCGGATGAAATTTAAAAATTCTAAAATTACAATATCCTTTTCTTATTAATTACGGATTAAAAAATTAAGAAAACTAAAGAGAAATAAAATGTTTTTTAGTTAAAAAAAAGTTCATATATAAAAGTGTGAGAATTTAGAATTCCAAAAGAGCTGCACTTCCTTGAAGCCTGCTCATTTCCTTATCTTTAGAATCTCGAGGTTACCACGACTAGAACTCAGCCGTTTAAAGCATATCCCGAGTGATGTATAGTGTGCCATTTAAAAGTTTCTCGAAACTCTGCATATTCAAGGATCTGCTCGAAAATAAATTAGCCTTTAAAATTTTCCCGGTTGCTAAAAATTAATCGCTAATCTACCTAAAGGGTTGATTCTTTAGGTGATTTATGAACCTGAAATATTATTCAGTGCGCGAAATGAAATACGGGTTATTTTAGTAAATAAGAATTAATTATTATTAAATTTTAATCTCTTAGATCGGCTACTATCCATTAAATTGAACTTTCTTATTTTATTTTTATTTTTTTGATAAATAGACTCTTAATGGGATATAATAAGAGTTGTCTATTTGACGACTTTTCATCACTCCTTGCATCATCACCTAATCAACGATGCGTGCAGCACAGAAAGCTACATGAAGACTATTGCAATAATGGCATGAGTAACTTACTGTTTACAATGACCCATATAGTCGTATAACAGGCTGTTTAGTTGCATATGATTTGAAATACGTCGATAAATCTAGAATAATATTTACTCTGCGTAATCCTTTCAGCTTTTGTTTTAATAACTTATTTAAAATTTCTTTTCGTGTTAGAAATAATTAAAATAAATTTTTAATTGAATGGGAGAAAGATCAGAATCGGGATGAGAAGGATGAGATGGGGAAGAATATTATTGCAGATAAATTATTTTTTAATGGTGATAAGGGATGTCGTTTGAGACATTTCCGATTGATACGTAGTGTAAGGATTTTTTTTTTTTCTTTTTTTCATGAAAAAATCGAAGTTTCGAGTACACTTTAGATGTGGCCTCGATTTCGTGAGAGAAGGTGCACGTGTTAAAACACACTAGGAAAGGGGGTAGAATGATTAAAAGTAAGAGCGACAACCGAGACAGGTTTTACGAGACTTCCGACTAACTAGGTCTATTGCAAGGTTATGTCTAATAGATATATACGTTTGTAGCAAATGTGTACAAAATTGGGCGAGTATTTATCCATTTATGCCAAAGATCTTTTTAGCTAAAGTTTTTTTTTTTTTTTTTGCATCCCTGCTTATTAATGACTTCTTGAGACCTAAGAAAAGTTTATAATGCATTTTTTTTTTTTTTACTTTGTTTACACGTTACTTCTGGCAACGTCGGCTACCTTTGAATATTCATCACGCTTACTCCCCCATTCCTAACCCGAGCCCTCCAACGACAACTTCCTCAGCCTAGCCGTGACCGGATAGCCTGGTTGTGGGCTAGATGCTATCCCATCGCCCTCTCCTCCCCCCTCCGGTGCCGACATGATAGATCTATTGCTTGACGTTGTATCCGCCCGCCACCTAACAACTGACCTATTCTTGCACCACGTGACTTGCTTTACAGGTGTCATGACGTTGAAGAAGTTTTACTTTAGCCTTTTACGTAATCATTCTTATAGACTTAGACCCGGAAATTAGATCTATCTAAATTTAATTCTTGATTAAAATTATGTATTTTTTTTTCTTTTTTCTTCTTAGTTATTAAATAATTTTGTTATCATCGTGTTATCTATGAAGTAGAGCATAATGTTTTAATATTTTCTGTTTTCCTCCCCATTAATTTTATACATTTTATATCTGACTTTGCTATTTTAATGTGAACTTAATTACGGATAAAAGTTTGTTGCCACTTATATAAATAGAACGATAAAGCATTAATAATAAAGTACGACTTTTAGTAAATTTTTTAAGGATGGTGCTTGTTTTAGTTCTAAAGAATAGTCCATTTTTCAACTCCCTTTATGTATCTTACATGCAACTACGTGCTGCTCTTCTACAAACTTGGAATGATGACAAAACAGAAGGCGGAGTATCCCCTGTAGTCTAGATCATTGCAGAAGGTCTCTGTATAGGAAACCGATAGCGAATTCGCTACCGTGTAAGGGCTGCGTGCACGTCAGGCCCACCCACGCTAGTCTTGTGACGACCACCTCGTTCTATTCCCTATATTCGCCAAGTTGGATATCCAGTTGTGTCGTGAGAGTATGTGTAACATGACTCGACTCCTTTTTAAATCCGAGTGGACCAAAGAGTATTTCTTGTTAAACGTTTTACCGGCTGCTATCATGAGCGGATGGCTCTCTTACAGATGGCATCACATTAGGTTCTATTAGAGTAATGCAGCCTACAGTATTTCCTGCAGAACGGTTACCGCCTAGTCACGTAACAGTTGGGGGACGAAAGATCTCCTGAACGGAGCCTCTTCATCGGTAACATCCAACTTCACCAGCTTAAGCTAATCCTAAACGCAGCAGCAATCTCCGATAAGCTCCACCCTATCAGCCTGTCCAAACCGGACTCTTAGCAGATGCCATGAAGAGAGAGAGAAAGAGAGAGAGAGAGCGAGAGAGAGAGAGAGAGAGAGAGAAAGAGCCTTTCGTAAATTATGTGGTGGCAATTTCAATTAGGTGTGAACAGTCGTCGGCAACACGATACTCCTGACAGCGACCCCGTGCGGTCAATTTCTTACTACTGCACTTCTTCCATTGGTTTTATCCTGTGACGTCAGTGGACAATAAAGCGTTGACGTCATGGTTTTTTGATGTGTGTCATGGACATTGTCACTATTTAACTGGAACTTAAAATAGATCTGGGACTATATGGTTAAAGGCTATTTAGGAATTTTAACTTCTAAAATCATAAATACTATTCTGGTTCAATTGGAGATAATTCCGTTTTTAATTTTCGGATGATAATTTAATAGATTTAGGACTCAGAAAAATCAGTAACTCGTGAGTCGAGTGGAATTTCTTAAATCGTCCCAAATTTTTCGCATTAATGCATTCTTCTCCCAAGCGGATAAAGAAGGTTTTCTGTACCAGTCCCCGCCGAAGGCGTGGTTGTTTGATAGCTTTTCACCTTCTGAGTTTTTTCTTTACTTCTCTACACAGAACTCAATGCATTTCTAGGAATTCGCCAACATGGAGTTCGTTGGTTTATATAGAATAGATCTATTTTCTCTGTTTTTTTTAAAAATTAAATCGGTTTGTTCTTCCTTTCCAATTAATATTTGCTGAAGCAGTTATATAAATGTATCAAAACAGTCGAAATCCTGCTTGCTATATTGTATGCAGATGTCAAGAGGAGACATGCTTGGCCGGAAATGCTCACCCTCATACAGGAAATCACATGACCACAAACATCCGCTGCCAGGTGCTGAGTCCAACAGCATGACTGATATCCGGACTTCAACGGGTTTGTTTTTGATGTCGGCTTACTCAATCCTGATACCTTTGTATAGATATATTTGTGCAATTCAATTAAAAAAACAATATTTTTTTCTATTTTATCAAAACATTTTGTAACTATGGCAGCAGAAAAAGTATCCATTTAAGCCCCATAATAATCAGAATCTCAATTACTAAATGTAAAATATCTTTTTAAAATTGTAACTAAAATAAATGTTTCATCCCCAGGTAAAGATATGGTTCCAAAATCGTAGATCCAAGTACAAGAAAATGCTGAAGGCGCAACAACAGCAACAACAACAACCACCTCAGCAGCAAAATCAGACGCCAACAACCAATCCAAATATGGTGCCACCAAATCCGGCTTCGACACCACCAGAATCGCACGATAGTCGTACACCACCATCAGTGTTACCCCAATCTGGACTTCTTGCACCGTCCAATCCTCCACAAGTGAACAGTATGTCTACAGCTGTTAGTCCGCCTGCCATGAGCCCTCCTATAAGTTCTTGGGACATGAATCCTGCCAAGGCAGCAATGAATGTATCTAACACGTATATGCCCCAGTATTCTTGGTACCATCATCAACCGGATCCATCTATGAATCAACAGATCCTCACTTAATTAAAAAAAGAGAATTATGTATTGAATTTCGGATCTCCTTCTTTCAGTCAGCCTGAGAGCGTGAAAGGCTGCTCTGAATCGAAAATGTATTGTACAGCGGTTTCCGGGATTGGTCCAGTCAACTTTGAGCCCCACAGTGAGTATGAAGACGGGCCCGAGTCCTCCCTACAGTTCCATAAAGAGAAGGCTCAAATGTGATCTTCTCCAAAGACTTGACGACCTTTGTGAAATGTTTTTGACGTGTTTCTATCCTTATAGGACCGACGGCGTATGGGCTCGGTGCTATCCCGATTCGCCGTTTTTTTAAGTTAAAAAAAAAAAACCAATGTCGTCCTGGGCCTGTGGGGTCCTTAAAATCCGAGGGGCCCTGTGTATATATATGTACGTTTGTGGTGTTAACCTAGTGTTCTTCTCCAGCTACTCAGGTACGTGCAGGCCATGGGTCTTTCACTCCGTTATGGAGAATGTGCGCGAATTCCTGATGGCTTCACGTGACGTCATACTCATCTAAGAACATTTCGATCAATACTCAAGTGTACGCGGAGGAGAACATGGTCCCTGCCCTTCTTTGTGCAATGTGCCCATATAAAAAAAGGGGACCCTCCGACATCCCTGATCTCTGAGTTAGTGTACAGTTTCTCAGCTCCCTCCATATGCCTCCCCTTCTAAACCCTCTTTTGCTTTTTATGAATGAAAAAAGTGTTTGTAGGTCCTGACAAAAAAAAATGAGATTTAAAAAATTTAAAAAGGAAAAAGGAAATGACACTTGAAATGTATATTGTGAGGTTTCATTAATAAAGTATTTTAGAGAATCTTCGTCTCCGCATCTTTTTTCATGCCGCTCTATCGGATCAATACAACGAGAAAATTTTTAACTGCGTGAAATATTTTAAAAATTCTTCAATATTTAATGAAAATATTATTTATATTTGAAAAAAAAAAGATTTTAAATATTTAATTAAATATATTTCGTTTCTTTATTCTCAGTTCCAATGCGACTTGTCGTATTCTTTATGTTGATTGTAAGAAATAAATCGGTGTGATGTCAATTAGCATGCAGGAGGTAACCTAAACGAGAAAAAATTAAAATTAAATATTTATTTTTTTAATTCTCTTAATTTAAAAAATGGCGATTTTATTATTTGAATTAAAAATTTTGTAAATTTTAAAGATTATTAAAGTAGAAATAACCAGCTTATTCGATTAGAAACAAGAAGCAGGTTTAATGTTACATCAATTGGTCCGGAGAATAACCTAATTAGATGAAGCACCTATTACGTCTTATCTCATTAGTGTAACATTACGTCTTCCAATTAGAGGACATCGATTGCTATTAGAGGATATCTTTTATGCACATTTATTTCTTATCATTCTAAGCATGTCATAATTCAAGTCATTTGATCACCTTTACCTAAAAGGTTACTAACATAGGAACATTAATTTTGTCGGTTCTGCCAACAAACTCTTCACTAATATCTCTTTCTCTATAAGAAATTTTCTTGTTACCATATCTTATTTTTAATCTTAACAATATAACTTTTAATTTGTACATTACATAAAGTATAATTTTACATTTTAANTATAATTTTACTTTTAATTTAAGTTTTCTAAGTGATGTTATATATCTTTACTTTTGCTCGATATTGCATAGAAATTCTCATAAAAACATAAAAATATTTGATTGAAAAAATGATCTTTTACGTTTAAATTGTATAAATATAAATAAATATTATGTTGAATTTAAGATAAAGTATAAAAAATTGGGACTTATATATATATATATTTTTTTTTTCTACAAACTTACAGGAACTATGGCGGAACGTTAGGTTGAATTCAAACTGGAAAAGTAGGTAGGACTTTCATTAATATTAATAAAACGTTTATAGTTAATTAGAATGTTATAATAATTTTTATCTATGTTTATCTTATTTTAAATAAGCAGATAAGACCAATATAACTATTAAACTTATATCATTATAATCTTTATGCCATTCAAAACTCTTGTAATTGTAAGAATTGATTAGATTTCTAGTCATATAGGCTATGATTACAATCATAAGTAAATGTGAATGAATAAAATCATGCATTTTTTTAGCAAATAAAATTATTATTTAGGATAAAGATTACCGGAATTTATTTTTAAACTTTCGGTCACGCTGATAGAATTACGTGTAAACTTTCGGTTGTTATACGAAAGAATCTATACGTGAACGGCTGTAATGGCGATAATCTTTTTCTTTTTTTTTTAAATAAAAACTTAAAAAGGTAAATGATAAATGAATTTATCAACTATTACTCGAATTCAACTTTTGCTATCTATATTTGATGCTTCGAGGGCGGTGCCTATTCTTCGATAGCCATTGAATAACTCATGATGGAAAGGTTGAATGCAGTTAGGATACATTCCTAGATTGACATTTAAATCTAACTCATGCTTAACACTCTTCTAAAAAATGAAAATATTCGTCATCTCTCTCTCTCTAAACTCCGAATACGTCGGAAACACTTTCGCTTTCATAAGGCCTATTCTTTTTTTTGCGCTTGTTTGTTTTCGTTTATGTATAAGAAGGTGGAGCGGAAGACTTGTAATCATGCGATGAGTCAGAAAAGAAAAGTGGATGCAGGTCGAAATATTCGCTTGGTCGCTTGACCAGAAATAATATATATATATATATTTTTTTTTTCTTTTCTCCTATCTTCGGAGAAAGTTTCATCGTTAGAACAAATCACTGCAAAGAATTAGAGCATCAAACATCACTTTCTTTGATGGTGATAGAGATTGATCCCGATGATGGATCGAACCGGATGAGAGATGCCAGAAGATTTTAAGCGGTAGAGAATTTTTACTCTATTTTTTTTTTTAGAGAAAAGAGAAATAATTTTAGAGAAAATAATTAAAATTTATAATAATCAAAATTTCAAACAAAAACACATAAAAACAACCTTTATCATCTCTTCGATTCCTTGATAACTGGTGATAGAAAATGCCGACTATAAAAGTTTCTCGATTCGTTTTTTATGTATTAAAATAAGTAAATATTCTCTTAAAAAATTGCTATTTAATAATATATATATTTTTAAAGTATTAGGGAATGGTAATATTGGAAATTTAAGTTTTCTAGATGGTTGTTGTAGTAAACAATTGAATGCCCACATGTTATTTCTTCTTTTAGAAATTTAAACGAAACGTGGCTAAATATAAATTTAACACAGAAATAAATCAGGGACGGCTTTCTTAGGCCTTTTGCTTTAAACAAAAAAACAATGGAGTTAATAATGGTCTATAAAGTTGAATTATAATCAGCGAAGGTGATTTCTAGATAACAAGCTTAATGAGCTGAAGGAAAAAAAAGAGAGAGAAAGAAAGACTAATTTTATAATTCTAATATTTCAGATTTAAATTTCATTATATATTCTTAAGTTTAAAAAAAAAAATAATAATAATAATAATAAATTAAATTTATTAATAATTGGATTAAAAATTATTCTATTATAAATAGTTTATAGCTTTTATATAGACTATTATAGGCCTATATATATATATATATAAAATTTTAATTTATTTCGCTAATTTTTTAAGTGATTATTAATTATATAGCCTAATAACTGTGTAATTAATTAAATAATTTTACTATTTTTTTAGCAAATTTAGTATATAAATGTAGACTATAATAATAATATTTATAAACTTGTGTAATAGAATTTTGAGTTGTGTGGTGTATTATAGAATTTTATTAAAGTTTTAAGTTAAGGTTTTTTAGAAAGAAACAAATGTAAAATTTCCTGGTTTTATTAATATTAGCTCTCTTGTACACTTAAAAAGAACACTTTTATTATTGTCGGTTGAGGATATTTACAGAAAAATATGAATTATAAAGTGATTTTAGTCTTTATCGTTGAAAAGAGTATTTGATTATTAGTAATAATTAGTAAAAAAAATGTTTTCCTTCTGAAGTGAAGACAAGGCTGGAATCGAGCATCACGGCTAGATGCCGATCTGTGCCAAAACACCCAAGCGTAAAGGAAAAATCAAAAGCGGGTGAAGGAGAGACTCTATCAGTTCCAGTAAATGTTTAGCATACTCATTCTCTTACTTAACTAATTTTTTTAAAGATATTTTTAAATTTATAAAATAATTTTGACAATAAAAATTTCTCTAGTACGCCCGTGGATGGCCGGAGGCTCGTTGCTTTTGCACCTCCGGCAAAACTGTTGGGCGGAGTTCTGTATGAAGTTAGATGCCGACATTGCAGACAGTCCGGCACCAATGTCTTTGTCTGAACCGCTCCTGACAGGCCACGTTGATTTTCGGTGTTGACATACGTCTATTGTAGTATCCGAACCGTACCGCCTACGAAGCATCTGCCTTAGTACTGTAGCAGAATTGAAGGACTACATAACTACACTTCTACCTATTCAATGAATCGGAAGGCCTTTTATTAATGACCGAGCAACTTCTCCGGTCCAAAAGATAGAAGTTTAATTTAACATTTTTCATTCCTGACTAGGCTTGAGTACAAGTTTAATGCCTTCCTTCTATGAAGTGACAAGATTTCTGCCTTTCATCTTTTATAAATTCCTGAAATTCATAAAGAGAATTTTGATGCTGTCTTCATTAAATACATACCATATTTCGGCGTATCGTTAGTTTAACATCTTTTGTAACGTTTAAAATTATTTAGATTTAATTTTATATTAAATTTTGATATTCTATTAACTGATTATTATGCTAAAAAATTACGAAAACGATACTCGAATTCGTATCCTTCACTATATTAAATGTTAACTTTAGTTGGAGTCGGTGGTTTCTTTATGCCTTTTTACTTATATATGCTTATAAAATAAAACTATATTAGGCCTATAATACGATAAGACAGCTTAAAGATGTTAGAAATATTAAAATAAAGACGTATGTAAATTTAAAACGTAAATTAAAGAGGAACTTGGGTTTAAAAAAAAAGCACGAAAGTTTGAAAATTTTGTAGATCTTTACTTCGAATATTATTGTTTATATAGTTCTATAAGTTTATTTTTGCTTTTCAATTGTAATTGAATTAAGTTTTTTGAAAATTTCGTATGAAAACTGACAGGAACAGATCCATATTTAGCCAGAATTTGGGTTGTCTGGCGGCCGTGTGTCGCCTTCACCAATTGACGCGGGGACCTTTATGACGTCATGGACGTTACCAATTGTCCCATTAATAGAGGCTGGATGGGCAAATTGACATTTCCTCCTCATCTTGACTAGGCAACTTTAATAGTTACTTCCAACTTCATACCAGGAAGTGGAGAAGGAGCCTACATAGTACAGCCAATCGCTGAAATTCTTTCAAGGTTTCCCGAGAGCCCTTCTTTTTTGAGGGGCTCGTAATATAG